TTTTCAAGGCCCTGCACTGGCACTTGCACAGGAAAGCGGGTCCTGGTGCATACAGGATCCAGGTGTATACATGTTTCGTTCTCCCCGCAGCGCTCGGACGGCCTCGGGGTGAGGGGCAACGATCCAGGGGGACCAGCACAGGGGGGGATGCATCGACCTAGAATCGGCGATACATCGCCGACAGATCGGCGATAGGCCCCCGACAGCGAAACCGCACCTTCCTGGACGTGGTGGGGCTATCGGGCCCCCATCAGCGATCAATGGGCGACTGGGGGTCGATGCATCCCGCCCTACGCCTCTCCCCCTCTATGGTTGCCCCTGATTATTGCTTTTGAGCGTGTGCTCCAGGACGCCGGTGTGCTGCATGATGCCGTCGACGACCTTCTCGGACTCTGCCCCGACGCCGAGGGCGTTCTCGACGAGGTCCTCGGGCGCCAGCGCTCGCCCTTCTTCAGCTCCCGATGTGGCAAGCTCTTGCCAAGCGGCCCCGGCAAGCACCAGCGAGCCCTCCTCGTGGCCAAAACGACGCAAGCTCGCGACTGCCCTGCGGTGGCCCACAGCAGCCGGAGCAGTCGTTGCCACACTGTCCACACGGCCATGCCACCCGGCGCAGGACCCGAGGGTCGGAGGCCAGGAGCCCGACCATCGGCGCGCCGACGTGCGCCAGCTTGGCCTGCAGCTCCGACTCGTGCTCGCCAACCTGGGCGCCCGCGCGGGTCTCGCCCGCATCGCGGACAGTGGGTGCGGCCATTCGAGTTGCCCGAGAAGCCACACTGCCTTGTCGCTGCACGCGCCCAAGGTTCATGCAGCACCTCTGGATGCCGACCTCGCTGCCCGAGGTGCCCGAGCACTTACGGCGAGGACGGTGAGGCCCATCGCGAAGCATGGACAAAAATCCTAACGGCGCCGACGGAAGAGAGCCGTGATGACGTTGAAGCCGCTCCACCGCGCGAAGCACGCGTGGAGAACGAAATAGCAGCCTGTCTCGATGCCGCTGTCGCCGCCGTTTGCGGTGCAACGCTGGAGATCGGGAGCGCAACTGCACAGGAAAGGCAGGATGGAGGGCCACGCGGCCGAGACCACGCGGAAACTGACCCCGCCAACAACAGGTCGGAGCCCAAATGGCCGCCGATCATGATGATGATGATGACGATGATGATGATAATGATGATGCTGATGATGCTGATGGTGGCGGCCATGACAATGATGATGAGGATGGTGATGGTGATGGTGATGGTGATGATGATGATGAGGAGGATGGTTGAGATGATGATGACGACGATGCCGATGACGATGCTGATAACGATTATGAGTATGCGTGTGATGAGGATGGGGATGATGATGCTGAGGATGATGATGACGATGGTGATGATGATGGTGACGCCGGCGATGATGGTGCTGATGTTGTCGGTGGTTGTGGTGACGAGGGTGATGCTGATGATGGTGATGATGATGCTGGTGATGGCGATAATGATAATGATGGTAATGATGGTGATGGTGATGCTGATAATAATGATGGTGGTGACGATGATGATGACGATGATCATGGTGATAACGATGGTGATGAAGATGATGACGATGACGATGATGACGATGACGATGATGCCGATGACGATGCTGATAACGATTATGAGTATGCGTATGATAACGATGAGGATGATGGTTCTGAGGATGCTGGTGATGATGATGGTGATGCTGGTGATGGTGGTGATGATGTTGGCAGTGGAGGTGGTGCTGGTGGCGATGCGAAGTACGATGCTGATGATGCTGATGACAAAGATGACGATGATGGTGAGGTAATAATGATGGTGCTGATGGTGTTACTGATGATGATGCTGGTGGTGGTGACGATGATGGCGATGATGGCGATGAAGATGATGATGATGATGATGATGATGATGATGATGATGATAATGATGATGGTGGTGATGATGATGGTGATGATGGTTGTGCTGATGGTGATGATGGTGGTGATGATGGTGTTGATGATGATGATGATGGTCAGGATGCTGGTAGTGATTACGATGCTGGTGATGCGAATGATGATATGATGAAGATGATGGTGATGATGATGCTGGTGCTGGTGCTGGTGCTGATGATGATGATGAGGAGGAGGAGGAGGAGGATGTGACGATGCTGGTGGTGGTGATGCAGGTGATGATGGCGGTGATGATGAGGAGAGCGGTGTGATACGCAACCCAAGTGCGAGTCGCTCGAAGCAAGGTAGCTGGAAACTGACATAGGAAGGCGCCCAACCTAAATAGGATGGGCATCGGCCTGTTCCCAGGAGGGGAAGGCAAACTCAAGGCCCCTCGATTGCTGAAACAAGAGGGCGCTCGGAGTAAACAGGGCGCACTGAGAATTCAAAAAGGAAGGCCCTTCGAGCGTTGAAGTGGGATCTGGGGATCCAAGCATGCACGCGTACTCTCAACGAGCGGCATGCGATTCGAGGACGAACGCCGTGGACAGGGCAGCACGAGCACACTGCAGGAGCCAGCGTGGGGCGGCGCCTGCTTGCGCGGCCGCAGGCCTGTGCCGCCGCGACGGCGAGATCACCCCGAGGCCCAACAGAACGCGGCAAAGGGAACGGCAGGAGCCCTCGGCCCCATTCTTCTGCGAGATCTTGCAAGCGGAGGCCGCCAAGGTGGGGCGATGAGCTGATAGGCTCGGAGGATTGCGCCGCCTCGCCGATGCATCGGCGACGTCGGAGAGAAGAAGGAGGAGCAGAAGGAGGAGGAGGAGGAGGAGGAGGAGGAGGGAGAAGGGAGGAGAAGGGAGAAGGGAGGAGGCTGGAGATGACAGGAGGAAAGAAAGTACGGACGGAGTAGAGGGTGTTTGGAAGACCACCCCTCCTCGTCCCCCCCCCACCCTCCTCCTACTAGATATCCTCCTTCTCCTCCTCCTCCTCATCCTCCTCCTCCGGTTCCTCCTCCTCCTGGATATGATCCTCCTGCCCCTTTCTCCTCCTCCTCCTCCTCCTCCTCCTCCTCCTCCTCCTCCTCCTCCTCCTCCCCCTTCTCCTCCTCCCGCACTGGAAATAATTCCGTGTAGGGGCATGTGAAGAGGGAACTTGAACGGAAGGTTGATTGCAACATCGTTGGTGCGTCCTGGGTTTGCACTGGTCCTCCTCCTCCTCCTCCTCCTCCTCCTCCTCCTCCTCCTCCTCCTCCTCCTCCTGCTCCTCCTGGTCATGGATACCCTCCTCCTCCTCATCATCATCATCCTCTTACTCCGCCTCCTCCTCCCCAGGGGCTGGAAGAGAGCGACGACGACGACGACGGCGAGGAGACCCCCGAGCCCGGGCCGCGAGGGGGTCCGACAGCGACAGGCGTCGCCGACGAGGGGCCTCGGGCTGCCCGCGACCTGCCGCGCGTGGCCGTCGCCGCCGCCGCGGCCGCAACCGCCGTGGTCCTCGTCCTCGTCCTAGCCCTCCTCGTCCTCGTCCTCACTCTCCTCCTCCTCACTCCTCCTCCTCCTCTCCTCCTCCTCCTCCTCCTCCTCCTCCTCCTCCTCCTCCTCCTCCTCCTCCTCCTCCTCCTCCTCCTCCTCCTCCTCCTCCTCCTCCTCCTCCTCCTCCTCCTCCTCCTCCTCCTCCTCCTCCTCCTCCTCCTCCTCCTCCTCCTCCTCCTCCTCCTCCTCCTCCTCCTCCTCCTCCTCCTCCTCCTCCTCCTCCTCCTCCTCCTCCTCCTCCTCCTCCTCCTCCTCCTCCTCCTCCTCCTCCTCCTCCTCCTCCTCCTCCTCCTCCTCCTCCTCCTCCTCCTCCTCCTCCTCCTCCTCCTCCTCCTCCTCCTCCTCCTCCCTCCCTCCCCTTCTCCTCCTCCGCCTCCTCCTCCTCCGACTGATCTCCCTCTCCTCCTCCTCCCCCTCCTCATCATCCTCATCATCCTCCTCCCCTTGTTCTTAGTATTATTAGTATGCTGCTGATCATTAGGATTATGATTATTGTTTTTCTTCGTGTTATAAATACTCGTAGTGGTTCGTCTTGTGCTTCTGGTGACCTGATTATTCGTATGAGTGTTTCGTATTAGTATGTTCTGCCTCATCAGTATCATCCATCTGCTCCTTCTCTTCCTCCTCCTCCTCCTTATCCCCCTCCTCGTCCCATTCCTCAAGCTCCTCCTCCTCCCCCCTCCTCCTCCTCCTCCTCCTCCCCTCCTCCTCCTCCTCCTCCTCCGCCTCCGCCTCCTCCTCTCCTCCTCCTCATCCTCCATCATCATCATCATCATCATCATCATCATCATCATCATCATCATCATCATCATCATCATCATCATCATCATCATCATCATCATCAGCATCAGCATCAGCATCAGCATCATCATCATCATCATCATCATCATCATCATCATCATCATCATCATCACCATCATCATCATCATCATCATCATCATCATCATCATCATCATCATCATCATCATCAGCATCATCATCATCATCGTCATCATCGGTATCATCATCATCATCAGCATCATCATCATCAGCATCATCATCATCATCATCATCATCGTCATCATCATCATCATCATCATCATCATCGTCCTCCTCCTCCTCCTCCTCCTCCTCCTCCTCCGCCTCCGCCTGCGCCTCCGCCTCCGCCTCCTCCTCCTCCTCCTCTATCTCCTCCTCCTCCTTCTCCACGTCCTCCTTCTCCTCCTCGTCCTCGTCCTCCTCCTCTGCGCCGTCACAATGGCCTCATCTTCATCCTCACCATGACCACCACGAATAACCATCACGGTCGCCAGCATCGTCATAGTCATCAGCATCACCGTCACCATCACCATCACCAGCATCAGCATCATCATCATCATCATCATCATCATCGTCAGCATCATCATCATCATCATCATCATCATCATCAGCTTCATCATCATCATCATCATCAGCATCATCATCATCAGCATCATCAGCTTCATCAGCTTCATCATCATCATCATCATCATCATCATCAGCTTCATCATCATCATCATCATCATCAGCATCGTCATAATCAGCAGCATCAGCATCAGCATCCGCAGCATCAGCATCAGCATCAGCATCAGCATCATCATCATCACAAGGATCACCAGCATCAGCAGCATCATCAGCATCATCCTCAGCAGCATCAGCATCAGCATCATCACCGCCAGCATCATCATCAACCCCACCGCCCCCAGCAGCAACAACAGCAACATCAGCATCGTGTTACTCCTCCCCATCATCATCAACAACATCTTCATCACCATCAGCATGAGCAGCATGAACATCATCAGCAGTATCACCATCATCATCACCACCGTCATCGTATGCAGCATCGTTCTCATCATCAAAATCGTCATCATCAAATCATAGTCGTCGTCATCATCATCATCATCATCAGCAGCAGCAGCATCATCATCAGCATCAGCATCACCATCACCAGCATCAGCTTCATCATCAGCATCAGCAACAGCACCATGAGCATCAGCATCAGCAGCATCATCATCAGCAGTACCATCACCAGCATCATCATAGTCGTCATCATCATCAGCAGTATCGTCATCAGCATCAGCATCACCAGCCTTAGGATCATCAGCATCATCATCAGCATCAGCATCATCAGCATCAGCATCATCATCACTGTCATCGGCATCATCAGCACCATCCGCATCATCATCATCATCATCATCACCATCATCACCAGAATCATCATCACCATCGTCATCACCATCAACAGCATCAGCATTAGCAGCATCGCTTCATGCGTTGTCACGCATTGGCATGCGTTGGCACGCATTGACATGAATTGGCATGCGTTGGCATGCGTTGGCGTGCGTTGGCATACGTTGGCATGCATTGGCATGCGTTGGCACGTGTTGGCATGCGTCGGCATGTGCTGGCATGAGTTGGCACGCATTGGCATGCGTTGGCATGCTTTGGCATGCGTTGGCATGCGCTGGCATGCGTTGGCACGCATTGGTGTGCAGTGGCGTGCGTTGGCATGTATTGGCATGCGTTGGCATGGCATGCATTGGCATGCATTGGCATGCGTTGGCACGCGTTGGCATGCGTTGGCATGCGTTGGCATGCATTGGCATGCGTTGGCATGCATTGGCAGCCGTCCCCGCATGCTACCCCTAACCCAGGCAGCCGATTCGTGTTCCGCACGTGCTACCCCTAACCCGGGCAGCCAATTCGTCACGAGTCCTCCATTAGCAAGCCCTCTGACTTTCCTATCCCAACTCCCTGGTATGGGGACGCACGGCGCGGCCTTAAGGGCCCATCCTGGGCCCGAAGAGCATCCCGACCACGAGGGCCAGAGAGTGGGGGTCGGGGCGACAAAGGCCTAGTTCTGCAGGCGTCCGCGCGAATGGCGATAGCCAGGACTGCTGCACGACTGGCGCTAGCCAGGACCAAGGTCCCTTAGCGCGAGGCGGGCGGCAAGCATTATTAGGCACTGCAGGACTGGTTCCTCGTCCTCCCTCCTCCTGCCCCCGTCGTTGCTTGGCCGCTCCTCCGCCCAAACCCTAGTTGGCTCGCCCCACTGCTTCCTCACTCTCCTCTCTAGGCTCTTGGGAATTCTGCCAGAACTGCAGCGGGCCAAGGCTATGCACAGCATGCCCAACTAGCTCGCGACCCGTTGTTTCGGCCAGCCCGACTCAACATTCACGGCAAGATCCCTGGTAACCGCAGAGCCGCGCGTGTTTAGGCTAGGGCCGGCATCACTGGAACTCTGCCAGGGCTGTGGGCTAAGGCTATGCGCCACATACCCAACTAGCCTGCGGCCCGTTGTTTCGGCCAGACCGACTCAACAAACAGGGCTGGAGCTCCAGGGTTACAGGCCGCGCGGTGTTACGCGATGTCCCGGGAAGTATGCAAGGACTGTAGGCTAAGGTTGCGCATGGCATACCCAACTAGCTCGCGGTTCTTTGTTTCGGCAAGCCCGACTCAACATTACCGTGGCATCCGCACCGCCGCGCTTGCTTAGGCTAGGTCGCTGCGCAAACCTCCACTCAGTTTGTCCCGTTCGTCTCCACGCGGGGATCTCCGTGGCTCGTCCTCAGTCGATCCTCGTCATCCCTCCTCCTCCCCCCCCATCCTTGCTTGGCCGCTCTCCGCCCAAACCCCAATTGGCCGTTCCACTGCCTCCCCGCTCCCTCTCTCTAGGCTTTTGGGAATTCTGCCAAGACTGCGGGCTAAAGCTACGCGCAGCATACCCAACTAGCTCGCGACCCGTTGTTTCGGCCAGCCCGACTCAATGTTCACGGCAGGGTTCCTAGCACCCGCAGAGCCGCGCGTGCTCAGACTAGGGCTGGCATCGCTGGAACTCTGTCAGGGCTGTAGGCTAAGGCTATGCGCCACATACCCAGCTAGCCTGCGGCCCGTTGTTTCGGCCAGACCGACTCAACACACAGGACTTGAGTTCCAGGGTTACAGGCCGCGCGGTGTTACGCGATGTCCAGGGAATTATGCCAGGACTGTGGGCGAAGGCTTTGCATGGCATGCCCAACTAGCTCGCGGCCCGTTGCTTCGGCAAGCCCGACTCAACATTACCGCAGGATTCTCGGCACCCGCAGCGCCGCGCTTGTTTAGGCTAGGTCGCTGCGCGCGCCTCCACTCAATGTTTCCTGTTCGTCTTCAAGTGGGGACCTCGCCCAGCTCGTCCTCAGTCGAGGGTGCATCTTCGCGCCCGCAGGCGAAGAGGTGCGCAGGCGCGGGCTCCAGCACAGAGCGCGTACTAGGCTAACAATCCCACCAAGCGGGATAACAGCTTCAGCAAAATGCGGCAGTATCCGTGCGGTCCCATCAGTGTCAATATTGTTGTTCCATCCAGTGCGTCACGGCAGGATTCTTGGCTCCCGCACAGCCGCACGTGTTTAGGCTAGGGCTGGCATCATGGGAACTCACTGTTCCCGTTCGTCTCCAGGCGGGGACCTCGCCAGGATCGTCTTCAGTTGAGGCTGCATCTACGCGCCCGCAGGCGAGGGGGCTCGCAGGCGCGGGCTCCAGCACAGCGTTTGCTCCATGGGCTGCTAGCCAGGTTTCGCCCTCGTTAGCAACCGACAACAACAGGCGGCGAGTTGGGGCCCCCCCAGGTAACAGTTGCACCCCCTTGACAATCCCTAGTTGGCTCAGGGACTGTCCAAAGGCGGCCCGCTCGCTGTCCTGACAGCTTGGTCAGTGATCCTCCTCCTCCTCCTCCTCCTCCTCCTCCTCCTCCTCCTCCTCCTCCTGCTCCTCCCCCCTCCTCCTCCTCCTCCTCCTCCTCCTCATCCTCATCGTTATCAGCAGCAACAGCAGCACCATCATCCGCATCATCGTCACAATCCGTATCATCAGCATCAGCATCGTCACCAGCACCACCACCACCACCATCACCACCACCACCACCACCACCACCACCACCACCATCATCATCATCATCATCATCATCATCATCATCATCATCATCATCATCATCATCATCATCATCATCATCATCAGCATCATCATCATCATCATCATCATCATCATCATCATCATCATCATCATCATCATCATCATCATCATCATCATCATCATCATCATCATCATCATCATCATCACCATCACCATCATCATCATCATCATCATCATCATAATCATCATCATAATCATCATCATCATCATCATCATCATCATCAGCATCAGCAGCATCATCATCATCATCATCATCATCATCATAATCATCATCATCATCATCAGCAGCAGCATCATCATCATCAATATCAGCATCAGCATCATCATCAGCAGCAGCATCAGCATCAGAAACTTCACCAGCATCATCATCATCGTCATCATCAGCATCATCATCAACATCATCAGCATCGGCATCATCATCGTTATCGGCATCGATATTATCGTCATCACCGCCAGCATCAGCATCATCACCACCATCATACTCATCAGCATGATCATCCACATCAGCATCATCACCATCAGAATAACCATCATCATCAGCATCAGCATCATCAGCATCATCATCACCATCATCAACATCAGCATCAGCAGTATCATCATCAGCATCGGCATCATCAGATTCAGCATACTCATCATCAACATCACCATGATCATCAGCAGCATCGTCATCATCATCAGCATCAGAATCCCCATCATGATCAAAATCGTCATCATCAGCAGCATCAGCATCACCATAATCTGCCTCATCATCAGCATCATCAGCAGCATCATTATCATTGTCAACATCGTCATCATCATCAGCATCAGCATAATCATTAGCATCAACATCATCAACATCGTCATCGTGCGCATCCTCTGCCTCATCCGCATCCTCATCCTCATCCTCCTCCTCAGTAGCATCATCAGCATCAGCATCACCAGCAGCAGCATCATGATCAGCATCATCATCAGCATCAGCTTCAGCATCATCAGCAGCAGTATCAGCAGCATCATCATCAGCATCATCACATTTATCAGCATCATCACTGTCATCATCATCATCATCATCATCATCATCATCATCATCATCATCAGCATCAGCATCAGCATCGCCATAATCATCATCAGCAGCTTCATCATTAGCGTCCCCATTCACATCCTTATCCTCATCATCATCCTCGTCAACATCATCGTCAGCAGCATCCGTACCAGCATCAGCATCGGCATCATAATTATCATCAGCAGCATCAGCATAATGATCATAAGCATCGGCATCATCATCATCATCATCATCATCATCATCACCACCACCACCACCACCACCACCATCCGTAGCCATTTTGACTGAAGGCTCCCCGCGCGCGCGAGGGTGATGGCTGCGGCATCGGGCGCAGCGCTGCGAGGCGCTGCGAGGCGCCCGGGCGGCGGCAGAGCGGGCCTGTGGCGCGCGGTGGCAGTCGCACCTGGACGTCGCGCTGCACCAGACGGCGGAGGTCGAGGCAGCGTGCACCGCACTCATCGACGGCGACGAGGTGGCGGCGCGGGGGCGCTGCGTGCTCCCCGCGCTCGTGGCCGCCGCCGCGGGCGCGGAGCCGACACGGCTCCAGCGCCCGAGGCGCAGCGTCAGCCTCCCACTCGGCCGCGCCTGGCTCGCGGGCTCCGGTGGCGGGCGCGGGCGGGCTCCGCTGCCTTCGGCACGGGCCGCGCGGCTGGGGGCCGCTGCCGCGGCGTCGGCGAAGAGGAGCGCGGGCACCTCGTGGTGTAGGCGGCGCCGCATGGGGCGGTGGCTCCGCGCAGGTATGGCAGCCTGTGGAGGTGGCCGCGGCTCGTGGGCACGCGGCTGGCACGAGATGCACTTGCGGCGCGGTGGTGTTCGGTTCGCTGGAGCCGCTCGTCGTGGCGGAGCCGTGCATCACGGCTCGACCGTCCAGGACGCCGATGCGGTCTGGCGCCCAGCCATGCGTGCCGAACGAGCTGGAGGCCCACGCGTCGGGGGACGGCGCGGGGGACGAGCAAGACGAGGGGGTCGCGGCCAGCGCCGTGGAGGAGCTGGGCAGAGGTGCGCGAGCAGGAGTGCGCACACCGCGGCGCTCAGGTGCCGCGCCGTGCATGCTGGACGACGAGGCCGACGGCGACCTTGAACCCGCGCCTGCCCAGGGAGCCGGCGAGGCGGTGTTCGACGACAACGTGTAGGAGTGCGAGGAGAAGCTGGGCATCGGGGGGGCCTCTGCAATGGCGCGGAGGCGTGCGGTGCGGTACGCGGCGCTGGACGGCGACGCGGCGAAGCCCGACGTCAGCGGCTACAGCCTACCTGAGGAGTACGACGGCGGCGAGGACAGGCCACCGTTCAAAGAGCTGGACGACGAGTCCGACGGCGGGCACGACGCGGGGCCCATCGACAGGAAGTTGCAGAGCGAGGGGATGCTGGACATCGGCGTTGCCTCAGCGGGGACGCGGAGGCGGGGGTCGGGCGACGTGGTGCTGGACGGCGAGGTATTGGAGCCCGACGTCCCCAGCTACAGCCTGCCTGCGAACTGCGACAGGGTGGTGGAGCGGCCGCCGCTCGGAATGGAGGGGTCGAGGAGGACGTGCCCCCGCCCGTGGTGCAAGGCGAGCTCTTCTGCACGTGCGATGACCTGGAGGCGATGGCCGCCACAGCGACAGGGCCGTTAGGCAGTGTGAGAAGGCTGTGAGCCATCGCGACGGAGCGGGTCGAGGGCTCGCTGTGTTGACAGACGTGGGTGCGCCGCCGTGCTCTGTCCTCGCCAGTGCAGCGGGCTTGCGGGTCCGCGGGAAGAGCCGGGTCCGCGTGCGCACTTGGTGTGAGGAGGTCGGTGGGCACCCGCGGGACTGCGGCGACCCACCCTGGGGAAGTGAGACCACCATCATCACCCTCATCACCAGCATCATCATCAGCAACATCATCAGCATCACCATCATCCTCATCATCATCATCATCAGCATCAGCATCAGCATCATCATTATCATCGTCGTAATCATCAGCATCATCATCATCAGCAGAATCATACTCATCATCGTACTCATCACCATCAATCTCAGCATCAGCATCATCATAATACTCATCACCACCATCATCATCATGATCATCAGCATCATCATCAGCATCACCACCATCATAAGTTGCATCATCATCAGCAGCATCACCATCATCAGCCACATCGTCATCATCATCAGCATCACCATCAGAATCATCATCGTCAGCACTATCAGTATGACCATCAGCATCATCAACATCACCATCATCATCATTATCAATGTCCTCATCATCATCATCATCATCATCATCATCATCATCAACAACATCATCATCCTGCTCCTCCTTCTCCTCCTCCTCCTCATCCCATTCCTCCTCCGCTTTCTCATCCTCCTCCTTATGATCCTCCTCATCCTTCTCTCTGTTCCTCCTTCTCCGCCCTCTCCTCCTCCGACTCTTCATCCTACCCCAAGCGGGGGAAGGGGTTTGTAAAATGTCCGAGGTAGTGGGAAACTGCCCAAAGTCATCAAGCGTTTCCAAAATCTGACAAGGAGGCCACAACACGCTCCTCTTCATTGTACAAGCCCTTCTCGGCATCAGCTTCCTCACCCTCCTCAGCATACGATGTCTACCCCTGCTCCACCATAGCCCTCTGGATCCACATCCTCGACCCCACCACACCATCATCATCATCAGCATCATCAGCAGCATCATCAGCATCATCAGAATCGTCAGCATCAACATCAGCCGCATCATCATCGTCAACATCATCACAATCATCCGCATCGTCAGCATCATCATCAACATCATCACCATCATCGGCATCAGCATCAGCAGCATCACCAGCGACACCAGTATCACCAGCATCGCCACCATCAGCAGCAGCCTCATCGCCACCGCGATCAACCTCAGCCACACTCTCACTGCAAGTCGTAGCCTCAGCGTTATCCGCATCAGTGCCACCATCCCCATACGTATCAGAAGCAGCATGCTCAGCAGCATCAGCATAGTCAGCATCATCAGCATCATCATCATCAGCACCATCACCATCATCACTACCATCAGATCACAACCACCATCATCCTCGTCATCCTCATCCTCATCATCATCAGCAGCACCATCAGCAGCATCATCGCCAGCATCATAGTCATCAGTATCTACAATATCATCCTCAGCAGCATCATCATCATCAGCATAATCAGTGTCACCATCCGCATCATCATCACCACCATCACCATCAACGTCATCATCAGCATCATCATGATCAGCATCTTGTGATCAGTAGCATCATAATCGTCATCAGTAGCATCCTCATCATCAGCATCGTCATCCTCAGCATCACCAGCATCTTCATCCTCGTCAGCATCGCCATCATCAGCAGCCGCAGCATCTTCGTCCTATTCCGCCTCCTTCGCCGTATCTTCACTCCTTCCTGCTGTTCCGCCTCCCCGTGTTCATGTTCCCACTCCATCGTCTCTTCCGGTCACCCTCCGAATCCTGCTCGTCCTCAGACTCCTCCTCCTCGTCATCATTGGTGTCCGTGTACTCCATCTCCTCCGTTCTCGAAATACGTCCTCCCGTCCACATCATCCTCCTCCCCATCATCATCCTCATCCTCATCAGCATCATCATCATCATCATCATCATCATCATCATCATCATCATCATCATCATCATCATCATCATCATCCTCTTCTCCCTCCTCATCCTCCTCCTCATCATCAGCATCATCATCACCCTCGTCAACATCAGTAGCATCCTCCTCCTCCTCCTCACCCTCCTCCTCCCCCTCCCCCTCCTCATCCTCATCGTCATCCTCATCCTCATCCCCATCCTCATCCTCATCCTGAGCGCCATCATCATCTTCGTTCTCATCCTCATCATTCGCAACCACAACCACCACCACAGCACCCATCAACCTCATCATCATCATCACCATCACGACCACCACCACCACCACCACCATCATCATCATCATCATCATCATCATCATCATCATCAGCATCATCATCAGCATCATCAGCATCACCATCATCACCATCACCATCACCATCACTATCAGCATCAGCACCGTCGTCATAATCATCGGCATCACCATGACCATGAGCATCACCAACCTCATCAGCAGCATCATCACCAGCAGCAGCATCACCAGCATCATCACCATCAGCATCACCGTCATCATCAACACCATCATCAGCATCACCAGCATCACCAGCATCGTCATCATCATCATCATCATCATCATCATCATCATCATCATCATCATCATCATCATAATCAGCATCATCAGCAAAATCATCGTCATCAGCATCATCATCGTCATCAGCATCATAATCGTAATCACATGCTCAGGAGCATCATCATCATCATCATCATCACCATCATCCGCATCATAATTGTCTTCAGCATCATCAACAGCATTGCCATCATAAGCATCATCATCATCATCATTATCATCGTCATCGTCATCAGCATCATCATCCTCGTCATCATCACCAGCATCATAATCAACACCTTCATCATCGTCATCACCGACATATTCGCCATCACCATCATCAGCAGCATAATCTCCATTATCAGCATCATATCATCATCGTCAGCATCAGCATCATCATTATCATCATAGGCATCAACATCAGCATCATCATCATTATCAGCATCATCATCATCATCATCATCATCATCATCATCACCATCATCATCATAATCAGCATCGTCATCATCAGCAGCGTCATCAGCGTCGTCGTCGTCATCGCCACCGTCTCTAACGCATTTCTGCGAGCCCTCTTGCTTCTCCACCTCGCCCTGCTGCGTGTCCATCTCGTTGTCCTCATGGGTGCCCTGTTCTCCCCCTTCCTTCTAATCCCCCTCCCCCGGGACCTATCTCACGGTGCGTTCTGACCAGAACCTCGACGCGAATCCACCCGTGGAGACGAGGGTTGCCCAGGAGGCCGCAAAGGGGCGAAAACGAGCCAAGGGCAGCTGTATCAGTACCGCTTCCTCCCCTGACCCCTCCCCCTCTTTCCTCCTCCCCCTCTGTCTCCTCCTCCTCCTCCTCCTCCTCCTCCTCCTCCTCCTCCTCGGTTTCCTCCCCCTCCTCCTCCTCTTCCTCCTCCTCCTCCTCCTCCTCCTCCTCCTCCTCCTCCTCCTCCTCCTCCCCCTCCCCGAATGCGCTACAACAAAAAAGCATCGCCTCCTTCCTCGCAGTCTCCCTGATCCAAAACACGTGAACATCGCTGCCCAGAGCGTGGCGCGCAAGCTGCAGTGGAGGCACCACCTCTTCGTGAATGGCGGCACCGGCTGCGCCAGACGGACACGACGACGTGCTTCAACTCCAGAGTGCCCATTTTCCCACAGACCCGTGCCTAAAAACTTCGAGTGGTATGTTCAAACATGTAGCTTCTCCCCAAGCCAGAGCAGCGTTGAGTCGATGGCGACACAAGGGAAGTAGTTGTTCAAACACGTCCACCTTGGACAAACGGGCAGTTCAACTACTCAGACCATCTGCGTACACGCCAGCCCCCACTGATGAGGTTGGCGGTTGCTGCTTGGTTCGCAGAGAGGAGATGCAGCAGATCGCTGAGAGCCTTTGGGATTGCAGATGGCATGACGAAATGCACCCCCTGGACCTCAGCAGAGGACGCTTGGCGAAAGAATTACATGTATGCAAACATGCTGCAGACGTCATTGTATGCAAGCCTTTTGGCATCATGTCGGCGCCTCAAGGGTCCACTTGCGCAGCAGCAGTCCAATTCAAAGGCAAAACGCACAAGTCGGCAGGAGAAATATCGTTTCGGAACGTTCACGCTGCACCGTCGTTTTCCCTTGGTGGCCTGGGGCTTTGGGTGAAAGACACACTGCGAGAACACCTTAACGACGTGTCCCTCCTTCTCAAAAACACGGACCGCTTTCTAAGGCAAGTTTCACAAGTCCACGTGACCGGCACGGACATGTTGGCAAAAGTGGATGTAAAAGAGTTCTTCATGACGGGCCTCCCCGACGCTGCAGCCCACAATGCAGCTGCCATCATCCCCGAGCGCCCCCTCGGAGAGGGAATGGGGAGAGCTTTACCCATCGGTCGGAAAAAGTAGGCAGAAACATGAAGTAGGAAGGCGTTGTAAGTAGATTGGGTCCGTCCACCTCCTAAGGAGGGCGGAAAAGGTGACGCCACTCGATCATTGAAGTAGGAAGGCGCTTAAAGTAGATTGGAATCTGGGAACCCCAAAATACCTACTTTAACGACCGATAGGCACGATCTCTCCTGAACAATCAATATGTGGAGTGCAGGTTGGTGCCAGACCGCATGTGACACGTAGCCCGGGGCTCTAGGACGGGCCTGCCAATTCTCTGGAGAAGATGCGGACAGCGCCCGTGACAACACGGTGGAAAAGAACAGGTCTGGTACATCATCTACCAGACAATTCTACGACATCAGATACCACGGTCGCTTCAAGGATGTCGTTTTCATGATTTTGGATCGCCGTGCGGGGAGGACAGCCGAGTTGTGGAAGATCATGCGCGACAGAAGCTTCTTCTACAAGCGCATACTGGAGGCGACAAGCACCACAGGCATCTTGTTCCTGGAGGCCTGCGTGCACAAAGGGCATGGTTGGCAGAAGTCGGTCTGGCTGGACTGCAATACGCACTTCAAGAGCATGTCTCTCGGCATCCTGTATCGTTATCCTCGTCCCACCCTGTCTCGATGCACTGCTCATGGCCGAGAGAGCAGAGGTTCGTCGCCTAGCCAGGCGCAGCAGCGACATCAAAACATTCTCCTGACACAACGGCTGGACAGGTATACGGTGCCCCACGATGGTTGTTGCATCACCTTGAGTCTCTCTGTCCTCCAATAGGCTGCCCCACTCCTCGGATCCAGCGTACAGGCGGCGATGAGCGCCTGAAGCCAGCCTTCTGGTTGGTCATCCCTTACCACCCAGTGTGGAAACAAGGGGGGCTTCAGAGCAGAGTGCATGAATTCATGCAGCCAAGTGCAAGTCAAATGTAATATCTCAAACTTGTCGGAAACATGGGTTGGAAGTAACCGCGCAAACTGGCATGGAAACTGGACTCGAGACCTGTGTCGGCTCTAATCGCAGTGCAGAGCAAGAACTTCATGGTTGGAGGATGCGAACGGGTGGTGGAGCCAACAGAAACAAGAAGCATTGCACAACGCATGGACTCGCAGCAGAAGCACCAGGTGACATAATGTAAGACAATTGTTGGTATCAACATCTCTTATCGCGAGCTTGTTGCCACCGAGGCGCATCCCAAGATACGGGTTCAGCAGCTGTTGTATCATCATTATGTTGCGTGCCTCTCCCTCTTTGCCAATCTGGGAGCTCACAGGCCCCAAGACTGACGCCCTGAAGAGGCGCCCCCGCAGGTAGTTCCGCGGGCAGGGCGTGCGCCTCAGCCTTGACAGCTCAGTGGCAACTCATGGGAGCCTCCCGTGCCATCTTGCCGGCTCTTGCGAACCGACGCTCATCGACGCTGAATCGACGCTAAATCGACGCTGCATCGACGCTAACCGACGCTAACCGACGCTAGATCGGCGCTATCTCATCGACTCCAGGTCGCGAATCGACGCTCATCGACGCTACAGACGGAAGTACGAGAGTACACGAGGCTCCCATGATTAGGAAAGGCAAAATTACCAGCCTGGAACAAATCCCTATCCCTATGCTGGGCACCTCCTCATCACGATGCCAATCTTAGGGATTCCCTTATTTTTTGAGGGCGGGTCCCTAAGATTGTCATCGCCTTTTGGCGTGTCAATCTTAAGGATAGGGATACGTTCGAGGCTGGTAACAAAAATCTCCCCGCGGCGGGCCCGCCGCCGTCGCTGCCGCCGCCGTCCAGGGGCGCCTCCCTCCGCTGGGAGCCCGGAGCTGCCCGCGGCGCGCTCGAACACGGCCGGGTGCGTGTGGTGCACCTCCAGGTACACTCGAGCGCCAGGAGCGCCTCGTCACGACGACGACGACGATGACAACGACGACGACGACGACAATGACGACGACGACGACAACGACGACGACGACGACGACGACGACGACGGCGACGACGGGGGAGCTCACCCACTCATTCACTAACGCCGTGGCGCGCCAGGTCTCCGAATCTTGGCCAGACATCAAGCAGAGCGCGCGGAGACACTATCTACCGTGCGCGGCCGCTTCTCTGGCACTGTACACCAGCCAACCCACCGCAGTGTGTCGATGCCGGACGGGGGAGTTCCCTGCCCTCCCTTTTCCTCCTCTCTTTCCTTGCTCCCTCCTCCCTCGTCGATCCCTCCTCACTACTCCTTCCTGCCTGATCGTGCTCTTCATCAACTTCCCAATCAAAGCCATCATCAACAACAGCAACAAGAGCATAACCATCACCACCACAATAACCACCACCATTATCAACAACAGCGCCATCGCCGACATCATCATCATCATCATCATCATCATCATCATCATCATCATCATCATCATCATCATCATCATCATCATCATCATCATCATCATCATCGTCGTCGTCATCATCATCATCATAAACAGCATCATAATCATCATAATCATCATCATCATCGTCATCGTCATCATCATCAACATCATCAGCAGCAGCATTATCACCATCATAAGCATCATCATCATCACCCCAACCATGCTCATCATCATCATCAGCAGCATCATCAGCATCATCAGCAGCAGCATCATCACCACCACCATCAGCAGCATCATCATCATCAGCAGCAGCCGCATCACCATCACCGTCACCATCATCATCAGCAGCAGCATCATCAGAATCATTAACATCATCAGCATCATCATCATCATCAGCAGCAGCACCATTATCATTTCCTACCTAGGCTCTGCCTAGAAGGGTTCGTACTCTCTTTCTTAAAGGGGACGGGCAGTGCACACCGCCCCGGGCGGTTCCCCCAGTATCCGCCCCGCGGTTCCCCCAGGTACGTCCCCTTAGCTTAGCGTTGCGTATCTCATCTTAGCTTAGCTTATTTCATCTTAGCTCAGCTTAGCTTCATCTTAGCTCAGGTTTAGATTAGCTTAGTTTACCTTCATCTTAGTTTCGCTCAGCTTTAGCATAGCAGAGCACAGCATAGCATAGCATAACGTAGCATAGCATAGCGCAGCATAGCATATCATAGCATAGCCCAGCATAGCCTAGCATAGCGCAGCATAGCATAGCATAGCATAGCGCAGCACAGCACAGCACAGCATAGCACAGCGCAGCATAGCATAGCAAAGCATAGCAGAGCATAGCATAGCAGCAAAGCAAAGGCAAAGCACGCAGCAACGCACAAAAGGCAAAGCACGCAGCAAGGCAAAGGCAAAGCACGCAGCAAAGCACGCAGCAAAGCAAACAGCAGCGACAGCAAAGCAAAGCACAAGCAACGCAAAGCAAAGCAAAGCAAAAGCAAAAGCAAAGCAAAGGAAAGGCAAAGCAAAAGCAATGTGCGACAGACGCCGAGCTAGCCTCGATGGCCGGACCGGAGCCCCCGCATCGTCATCGTCACCGTCATCCAGCTCCTGGTCCTCCTGCCCCGGATCTGTGGGTGTATTTTGTGGCGCTCGTGTGTGCCAACCGCGTTGCTAGTTTAGATTTCTGTCCGGGTAATTAGCATGGGTGTAATTCCCTACCTAGGCTCTGCCTAGAGGGTTAGCTTAGCTTAGCATAGCGCAGCATAGCGCAGCGCTGCATTAGCATAGCATAGCATAGCATAACATAGCCAAGCATAGCATAGCATAGCATAGCACAGCACAGCACAGCACAGCATAGCATAGCATAGCGCAGCATAGCATAGCATAGCATGGCGCAGCTTAGCGTAGCATAGCATAGCATAGCTTAGCATAGCACAGCGCAGCATGACAAAGCATAGCGCAGCATAGCATAGCATAGCATAGCATAGCATAGCATATCATAGCATATAATGCTGCTTTCCTAGGGGCTCCAACTTCTAGGTAGGGTCGCACTGGGGTAATCCACAGCGTGACCACTGTCATCACCATTAGAAGCAACAACAATATCATAATCAACCACCTGATTATCACCACTACCAACAGCATGATCATCATCACGATCATCGTCACCATCATCACCTCTCAGCATCATCAGCAGCAGCAGCATCATCAGCATCATCATCATCAGCAGCATCATCATCGTCGTCCACATCCGTATCACAATGTCTAATCACCCGTATCACCATCATTCAGAGAACTATTGCAGTCATACCCAAACACTCAGCCTCATCACCACCAACATCGTCATCGTCCTTATCATCACTACCAACACCAGCATCATCATCATCATCATCATCATCATCATCATCATCATCAGGACCATCACCATCGTCATCATCAGCGTCACAGTCATCATCGTCATACTCGTCCTCATCGTCCTCCTCGTCACCATCATCATTTGACACCCTTTTTCCGCGCCAGTCGCTACAGTTCACGAGTGGCGTGTCAGAGCGTCGGCGCGGGGCCCCGTCTGGCGAGGCCCGAGCTCCTGGGCGGCCTCGGGCAAGGAGCAGGCAGTACGGAGGCACGAGCTCGCAGACGGAGATCCCTCGAGGGAGGCGGAGGGGAAGGCGGAAGACGGATGGAGCCGAAAAGCCACGACATGAAAAGGTTGCGGCGCTCCTCCGCGCGTCAACCAACGTCCGCCCAAGCTGCAACCATCGTTCCGAGCCGAGCTGAACAACTCGTGCAGCCGAACCACGAAGAGCAAAGGTTTCGGCGCGTTTCCGCGTGTCAACCAACATCCGCCAAAGCTGCAACCTCGTCCCGAGCCAAGCCGAACAACTCATGCAGCCGAACCACGAAGAGCAAGGGTTGCGGCGCTTCTCCGCGTGTCAACCAACATCCGCCAAAGCTGCAACCGCGTTCCGAGCCAAGCTGAACCACTCCCGCATGGCGTGTCAGAGCGCCGACTTGGGGCCCCGTCTGGGGAGGCATGAGCTGGTGGTGGGTGACCTCGGGCAGGGGGCAAGCAATACAGATGGTCGGGCTCGCCGGCAAGGATGCCACTCCCCTCCCTTCTAATGTGCTCTGGGGACCGGCTTTGGCCTCTAGGCCCTAGGGGAGCTGACAGCACATCGAACGACAGAACCTGATTGATGCACTTGGGCGGATATGGTATCAAACTGTCCTGAAGCATCGAAAAGCGCGATCTTTTCGCGAGGAAGATTGGTACACGAGCAAAGGACGAATCCGCAGGCATTTCTCGAGCATGGGCTGCACGTGCGAGCTTCGAGCACCTCAGCGTTAATTGTCGGGGCACCTCTCATTTACCTGAGAGGGCGTCCCGACGTGACACATGTCGAGACAAAATACGAGCGTGCCCAGTGCTGGGCGAGACTGCAAAGGTTGGGGGTTAGGCAGAGACGCGGGGACTGGAAATTCTCGAGGACGAACCCGACTCCTACATTGGCGGCCAAATCAATTAGCTTCAAAGAGGGAGCGAGCCTACTATTATGGGTAAGAATTAGCTGGCGGTTGGCTGGTGCAAGAGCTGGAAGACCCACGATCTCTTGGGAGCCGTCGCCTCACAGAGCCGGGGGACCGAAATTAGCCCGAAGGGCACGACCCCACGTGCTTCAGTCTAAACCAAGCCACAGCACGCCAACATGACCAGATCTCAGCAGACTCACAAGCTCGGCTTCTGCTTTCGGCGGTAGGAGCTCGCCGCCCGGGCCACCCCGAATGTCACAACCGAGGGCGATGTAGCCGCGAGCCCGCATTGCGAAGCCCACTCTAAAGTTAAGTCGGGCCTTTCCCTCTACAGGAGGAACACTCAAACATTATATAGATATATACATACACATATACACATATACATATATATATATATGTATGGGCGTTCGGGTATTCCCGCACCCCTGTGTTTTTCAGAGGGAGCCGATTGTCAAGGGTCGTCATCCTCCTCCTCCTCCTCCTCCTCCTCCCTCCTCCGTCCTCCTCCTCCTCCTCATCCTCCTCCTACTCCTCCTCTCCGTCCTTGGGAACATCGTTTGTATGTTTGAGCACCTGGGGGGTATATTGTATTTTTCGCCCCCAATCCGCCCGTAGGGGGACACGCCCGACCGAGCTCCGAAAGCAGCCGCAGAAAAAGCTCCGCGGCGACGCGGCCGTCGGACACGGCGCCCCCGGCCCCAGGAGAGCGCGCCGCGGAGCACGGCGGGCAGCTGCGAGACGGCCAGCCCCACCCGCCTTGAGGTCGGGCCTGTCCCCCTACTGGGGGATTTGGGGCGAAATATTTGTTTTAATCAAAATACCATTTGTTCTACAACCAAAGAGCGTAATGGACAAATTCTCCAAAATTGTAAGAAAAAATCGTCCCCTGACCATTTTTGGGGGGCTATTTTCGAATATTCCACCTGAGAGGGACACGCCCGACTTCAACCTGCCCCCTCGTGCCTAGACCCCCTTCCTGGCGCGGAGGCGCTCGAGGGCGCCCCCGGCTGGGGCCGCCGCGGCGGAGCTGGCACACGACGCACTCGAAGCGCCCGAGGCCCGACGCGGTCGCCGCCCTGACCCAGCGGTCGCGGGCGGCGCAGCAGCAGGAAGGGAAGATCGAGCCCCCCGGCGCCGCGCGGGCCCGCGCCGGCAGCAGGAGCCCCCCGGTCCACGGGGCGCAGCCCCAAGTCCTGGAGGAGCGAATGGTCGCAGAGTGCCGTCTTGGACCTCTGGGCCGTCTCCTCCGGGGACACGCGGGGCACACTGAGTGCCGCGAGCCCGCTGGAGCCCGCGGGGCGACCGAGGCCTCCGCGACGGCCAGCGCCCCCCCCGGGGGCAGGTAGCCCGCGAACATCGCCCGGCGGGCAAGCGCCTCGAGGTGGCACTCCAGCTGGGCGAGGCGCAGCGCACTGAGGCACGCCAGCGCGGCCGCGGGATCGGAGGCCGCGACCGGGGCGAGCCGAGCCGCCTCGTCCCGCCCCGCGTCGCGCGCCGCGCCCTCGCGAGCCGGCGCCGCCCCCGCGGGCCGAAACTCCGCCGGCAGAAGACCCGCGCCGCGCGAGCCTTCTCCGCCTCCGTGGCCAAGGCACCATGGCCCTCCAGAGCGGGCCGGCGCCCGCGGCCAGCGCCGCGTCGGCCCGGCCTGGCGCGGGCAGCCCGAGCGACCTCATCGTCGCGGCGCTCTGGGGCTCGCCCAGTTGCCGCTGGCGAACGGGTATACACATGGGAAGTTGCTGCCGGTGCTGAGGGCTCTGTCTTCCGCAATTCCTCGCAGAGCCGAGCTAATTAACAGCCGTGCTAACATAAAGGGGCCCCAGGACACACAAATAAATGCACACATAGAATTATTCCCGATATTTTCACGTATGTTTAGGGTGTTCGTCTTCCCCCCACTTCCCATATGTTCCAATATTTTCTGGGGAATCGAGGATTAATTGTGTCTGTGTGTTTCTTCCCCTCCTGCTAACAGAACTCCTGCGCGAAGCTCCAAGGCGGCGACGAGCTCAGATCCCACCCTCGGCGGCGCCGAACACGTCCTTCGCGAAGCGCACTCTCCGGACACCTCCTCAAAGAGAGGGTTGGGAACCAGAGCGCTCTCGCCCCCCCCCTCTCTGATCGTTCTCAAAGGGAGGGCGGCCCTCGGGCCCAGGAAAGGACCGCCGGGCGGAGCGAGGGCAGAGACGCGAAGAGGCTGGGCGCCGTCGCGGCCCTCGAAGCGCGAGCGCTCACCAAACCGCCCGGTCTCCACCGCCACCTCGCAGGGCATCTCGGCGGCGGCAGCAGCCGCCCCCGGCGGGCCGGAGCCGCGCGGGCCAGCGGCGGCGCAGACAAACGCCCCCCGCGCGCCCGAGGCGCGCGCGGAGAGCAGAAGCCCCGCAAGACCAGGGGGGGGCCCCCCCGCCGCGGGCGGCCCCGTGCCCGGCAGGCTCGGCGGCGGCGGCGGCGGCGAAGTCCAGGCACGGACGCGGAGCGCGCCGGCGCGAGGCGCGGGCCCGGCACGGCGGCGTCGGCGCCGTGCCCCACGACGACCTCGATCCGATGAGCCGACGCCCTCGGGGGCGCCCCTCGGAGCGCCCGAGGGCTGCCTCCGGTCGGGCCCGCCTCTTGAGCGTCAGCTGCACCGCTCCAGAGCCGACATCGATGCCCCTGCCAAGCAGCACGGCGGACGCGGACGCGGCGGCGACCTCGTGGACCTCGAAGCCGTCCTTGCCGACGTCGTCGCGGAAGGCCAGCACGGCGGGCCCCCCGCCAGAGACGCCTGGGATCGGGCCGCGATCGGCGGGCAGCGCGGACGGCCCGACACCAAGGGCCACCTGAACTCGCCACGAGGCGACTCGCTGGGCCAGGAAGAAAGCCCAGCGCCAGCCCACGCGGACCACCGTGGGCATCGGCCAGACCCAGCCCTCGGGGCGCTGGAGCGCCCCGACCAGCGGCTCCCCGAATGTCCCGGCGAACTCGGCCGCGACGGCAAGCAGGCAGAGGAAGGACATCGGCCTGGGCAAGTTCCCGCGCGCGTAGAGGCAGCGCGTGATCTCGAGGCTGCTGACGCAGAGCTCCTCGCGAGCGTCAGGCGCGCCCTGGGGGCGCGCGCGCCCAGGGCCCGCCGGCTGCAGCCTGCCCCGCGGGGCCCTGGCTGGGGGGGGGGGGGGGCGCTTTCGGAAGCGCCGATCCAGGACCCTCGCATCGAGAACCATCCTCAGCGGAGCTGATTTCTTGGCCCACGAGAACCGGCGTCGCCACTCCTTGGGCTCCATGGCGAAGCAGCTGAGCCCCGCGGCGTGCGGGTCCCCGACGAAGGCCAGGCAGAGCGAGGCGTGCTCGCGCGGCTCCTTGCCCATGGAGGGCGCCGCTGGCGCCGCGCGTTCGACCCCCTGGCCCCGCTCGCCCTGGCCCGCCCGCCGTCATGGCATTCACCCCATCCTTCAGGATTCTGCGCCTGGCGAGGTCAATCACGTCGGCGTGGGCTGGCGCCGAGCCTGGCCTCGGGGTGTCGACGAGCGACCTGTCATAGGCCCGAGGCACGCACGGGGCTGGCGACACCCACATCGCACAAGGAGCGCAACCTCAGCAGCTCTCCTGCGGTTGCTCGAGGAAGGCATACATCGCTGCACGGGGGCACTCAGTCGAGCAGCGAGGCGAAGCTGATGACGCGCCTCGTGGCTGGCGGCATAAGCAGTCCCCGCTGAACCCTCAGGTGCACGGTAGAGCTCGTTCGAGCCGCTGACTGCCTGGTTGACGGCGCGGTCCCCCATCGGACCCTGGCTATCGCGCGCCTCTGGCCCCGGGGGTTCGCGGCAACGAGCCCCCTAAGGAGCCGCGAAACGTGAGAGGGGTGTGCCGAAATGGGCGGGGAACTGCACGTGGACTTTGCCACTGGGGCCTTCGGTGGAGCTTCCTATGAGGCCACGAAGTGCGTGAGGGGTGCCGAAGAGGTTGACATGCGGAGGGCAGAGGCAGGGATGGGAGGAGGTAGGAGGAGGTAGGAGGAGGGAGGAGGGGGAGGAGGAGGAGGAGGAGGAGGAGGAGGAGGAGGAGGAGGAGGAGGAGGAGAAGGAGGAGGGAGTGCGACGCGGGGCGCTGTTTCTTCGAAACTGGTTGGGAACACATCGGCATGCGCGCGAGGAGTCTTACAACAAAGGCGGTTGTTCGATCAACGCGTGCGCACCGCATTATGTCATTCGACAGCGGTATTGGGGGGAGTCCATACCGGTTTGGCTGGGACTGTATGCTTTCAAATGTATGATGCGCAATCGTGCAACATCGCCCTGATAAACCAATGCCCCAGGGGGGGGCGTTGAGTCTGGCCTCGGCATGGGGGTGAAAAGTAGAATATTCTGCAATATAAGCACTGCATGTTGCGCAGACTGTGCTGCGCAATCTAGGTGGTGCAATTATTTGGTGCCATCTGCGTCGTGCCACGCATGCTTGTTTGCGTGTACGCCTACGTATACAGTCGGCCCGTATCCTGAGAATGCGCGATAGGATAGGGCCTTGGACGCCCATGTCGAAGCTTATCGAGCGGGGCGCGGCCGACGAAAGTGGCCAATGATGGACCCAGGAGGCAAGGATGCAAGGGTATCCTTGGGAAGGTTGCCCATCCTTACGATGCGGGTTGACAGTACTGCTCGCCTTCCAGCTGTACTATAACTCAGAGCAGGGCGAGTTGAGACAGCGGCAGCTCAGCATCGGTCCCGAGACACCTCTCTCGTGGTCCAAAAACGCACCAGCTTTCTGAGCTGCACCCCGCCGTGGCGACGAGGGGGCCCCCGAAGTCCGACCGCTGTTGTCTCCACTGGCCCAAGGCTTAAGTCGGGCCTGCCCCCCTACAGGGGGATTTTCGACGAAGAATACAAATACTGAAAAAAAATGCCAAACCATACTCAAACGTATCCCAGTGCGACCCTGCCTAGAAGTTGGAGCCACTAGGAAAGCAGCAGTGGTTGCTATACTATGGTATGCTATGCTATGCTATGCCATGCTATGCTGCGCTAGGCTATGCTGTGTTATGCTGCGCTATGCGATGCTATGATATGCTATGATATGTTATGCTAAGCTATGGTATGGCATGCTGCGTTGTGTTATACTAAGCTATGCTATGGTATGGTATGATATGATATGCTAAGCTGCGCGATGCGATGCTATGATATGCTATGACATGCTATGTTATGATGCGCTATGCTATGCTGCGCTGTGATATGCTATGATATGCTATGGTATGCTTGGCTATGTTATGCTATGCTATGCTATGCTATGCGAATGCAGCGCTGCGCGATGCTAAGCTAAGCTAAGCTAAGCTAACCCTCTAGGCAGAGCCTAGGTAGGGAATTACACCCAATGCGTTGCTTTGCTGTCGCTGATGTTGCTTTGCCTTTGCTGTGCTGCTATGCTATGCTAAGCTCTGCCATGCTATGCTATGCTATGCTGCGCTGTGCTATGCTGTGCTGTGCTGTGCTGCGCTATGCTATGCTATGCTATGTTGAACTATTTGCTTCCCATTCTTGGATATTCCCCCTGTAGAAGGACAGGCCCGACTTAACCCTTAACCCCAGGACTCCTCTGCAGGGCTGCCGCGGCAGCTTCCCTGGCAGGGTCAGCGCCTGCTCGCCGCGCGCAGCGCAGCACCTGGCGCACCACGTCGAGGCCGTCCTCGCCGCCGTCCAGCGCGGCGGCGTCCTCGAAGTCGCGGACCTGTCTTCTCTGTCTCCCGGCGCAGCTGAAGGCCGTGCGCGGCCAGCCGGATGTGACAGTTGAGGGTCAGAGAGCACGCAAGCCGCATCTTGGCTTCCGGTGCTGCGCATATGTGTAAAGAATATGAGAGCCCCCGGTCGAGAGCCATGGCTATCTTGGGGGGCCTCTCGGGGCTGCCTCGGGGGGCCTCCTGGCCTGTTCTGGAGGCCCCCGGGCCCAGGGCGCCAGCCCAAGATGCCAAATTAACCGGACACGTCGGGTCCTGGATGGCTTTCCTATGCTCGGTTTTTGTTGGCCTTCAGCGCGCCCGAGACGGCCTAAGAGGACCCTGAGATCGCCCGAAGAGGACCCCACCGCCCCCGCCTAACCTCGCGAGACGCGAGTAAGCACTCGCACCCCTTTCGCTCGTGCACGCCAGCGCAAAGCGCGATCAACTTCGCGATCCTGCGTCACCCACGTGAACGGCAGCAGAGCTTTCGGGCAATCACTCGGGCCCCAGGCAGCCGGTCGCGACCCTCCTCCCTGGCGCGCGGAGCGCTCCAGGGGCGGAGCCGTGAACGCCGCCAGGGGGGGGGCCAGGCGCCGATCCAAGACATCCGCGCGGAGCGCCGCAAGCTTGTGCTCATGCCGTTCTGTTCCTCGAGCCGCTGCCGCTGCCCGCCGGCACACGGCCGCCACCGCAGACCCCCAGCGCCGTGATCTTGTCACAGCCGGGACCCCCAAAGGTCTCGACCCGAGCCGTTTCCTCACGGCCGCGGGGCCTGGCGATGGCCCCAGGGGGGCGAGTACGCTGATAAACCTTACGTCGTGGTCATTGGGCCCCTCTTCTTTGAATTCGCGATCATGCACATGACCAGCCTCGACCCCCCCTTCACATCATGGACCCCCGCAGGTCTCAACCAGGAATGTAGCAACACTCACGCGCAGCAATGGTTTTTTCGCCAGCGCGGGCAGCACTTTGGGCAACACTGCCTGTGCGCTCGCTTCCTTCTAGCGGGTTCGAGCCGCCTCACGCCGATGGATGACTGCTTATGCTCATCAGGCTCTACTGCCGAGACAGATACAACAGATACAACAGATACAACAGATACAACAGGGCCGGCTCCTCATCCCGAGCCGTTCCCTCACGGCCCCCGGGCCTGGCGATGGCCCCAGGGGGGCGAGTACGCTGAAGAACCTTACGTCGTGGTCGTCGCGAGAATGCACGTGACCAGCCTCGCACCCCCCTTCCCCCCAAGTGCACCGGCAGCGGCGCAATCCATATATCACCGAGCCGTCGCGACAGCAGGCAGTGCTCAAACAGTACTGGCTCGGGCTGCACCTTGTATTGAAAAATACATCGAGCGAGTCAGACATCAGTCAGGGACTTGCAGTGGTACATCCTTCCCCCCCCTCCCCCTGGTCATTTCACGCTTCGCGCCGGCGCACTTCCGAGGCATTCCCCCAAACGGCCCCAGCACGAAGCGTACAGTCGGGGCGTTGACCTAAGGAACCCTAAGTAAGGAACGGGGCCCCTTTCTCCCATAAGTTGAACTTCGATTTCCCGTGGAAAACCTCAGGAAAAGAGAAGGCAAACTGCAGAACAATCAAGGAACACCGAGCCCCTCCACAACGAAAAGGGTTCCTTCTTCAGGGCCCCGGCTGTAACGTGACCGCCCCCCCCCACCCTGGTCACGCCGACTATATCGCCAGGTAATGAGATTCTCCTGGCGTAGGACCCAGCCATGTGCAGTTGTGAGTGCCGCGTTGTGGGCACCGCTCTCGGTGGAGCTCCTATGGGGCCACGGAGCGTGCGAAGAACGTGCCCACCTGGGCAAAGAAGTGCACGTGCACTGTGCCACTGGGGCCTTCGATGGAGCTCCCCATGGGGCCACGAAACGTGCGAAGGGTATGTCGAAATAGGCGGGGAACCGCATGCGAATTTTGCCACCGGGACCTTCGGTGGAGATCCCTATGGGGCCGCGGAACGCGTGAGGCGTGTGCCGAAAATGTATAGCGGGGACGCATGCGGACGGTGCCACTGAGACCTTCGATGGAGCTTCCTATGGGACCCCGAAACGTGTGAAGGCTGTGCCGGAATTGGCGGGGATCCGAATGTGGACTTTGTCACTGGGGCCTTCGGTTGACATCCCCATGGGGCCACGAAACGTGTGAGGTGTGTGCCAAAAGGGGCGGGGAACCACATGCGGACTTTGGGGGCCTTCGGTGGAGTGTGCCCTGCATGTGGACTTCGCCACTGGCTCCGTCTGTGGAGCTCCCTATGTCACCACAAAACGTGTGAAGGGTGTGCCGAAATAGGCGGGGAACCGCATGCGAACTTTGCCACTGGGACCTTCGATGGAGATCCCTATGGGGCCGCGGAACGCGTGAGGGGTGTGCCGAAAATGTGTGGCGGGGGCGCATGTGGACTTTGCCACTGAGGCCTTCGGTGGAGCTCCCTATGGGGCCACGAAACGTGTGAGGGGTGCGCCGGAAGGGGCGGAGATCCGAATGTGGACTTTGACACTGGGGCCTTCGGTGGAGCTGCATATGGGGCCACGAAACGTGTGAGGGGCGTGCGGGAATGGGCGGGGAACCGCATGTGGACTTTGCCACTGGCGCCTTCGATGGAGCTCCACATGGGGCCGCGAATCGTGTGAAGGGTGTGCCGAAATGAGCGGGGAACCGCATGTGGATATTGCCACTGGGGCATTCTGTGGAGCTCCCTATGTCATAACCAAACGTACGAAGGCTGTGCCCAAAGGCGGGGAACCGCATGCGAACTTTGCCACTGGCACCTTCGGTGGGGCTCCATATAGCTTCACGAAACGCGCGAGGGGTGTGCCGAAAAAATGTGGCGGGTACGCATGCGGATGGTGCAACTGGGGCCTTCGTTGGAGCTCCCTATGGGCCCACGAAACATGTGAGGGGTGTGCCGAAATGGGCGGGGAACCGCATGTGAACCCTGCCACTGGGGCCTTCGGTGGAGATCCCTATGGGGCCGCGGAACGCGTGAGGGGTGTGCCGAAATGGGCGGGGAACCGCATGTGGACCCTGCCACTGGGGCCTTCGGTGGAGATCCCTATGGGGCCGCGGAACGCGTGAGGGGTGTGCCCAAAGGTACGGAGAACCGCATGTGGACTTTGCCACTGGGGCCTTCGGTGGAGCTTCCATATGGGGCCGAAACGTGAGAGTGGCGTGATGGGTATGCCAAAACGGCCGGGAACCGCACGTGGACTTTGCCACTGGGGCCTTCGGTGGAGATCCCTATGGGACCACGAAACGTGCGAGGGGTGTACCGAAAGGGGCGGGGAACCGCATGTGGACTTTGCCACTGGGGCCTTCGGTGGATCTCCCCATGGGGCCGCGGAACGCGTGAGGGGTGTGCCGAGATGGGAGGGGAACCACATGTAGATTTTGCCACTGGGGCCTTCGGTGGAGCTCCACATGGGGCCGCGAAGCATGTGAGGGGTGTGCCGAAACAGGCAAGGAACCGCATGCGAACTTTGCCACTGGGACCTTCGGTGGAGATCCCCATGGGGCCACGAAACGTGTAAGGAATGGCCGAAGAGGCCGGGGAACCGCATGTGGACTTTGCCACCGGGGCCTTCGGTGGAGCTCCCTATGGGGCCGCGAAGCGTGTGAGGATGGGCGGGGAACCGCAGGTGGACTTTGCCATTGGGGCCTTCGGTGAAGTTCCTGTGGGGCCACGAAACGTGTGAGTGGTGTGCCCAAATAGGCGGGGAACCGCATGTGGACTTTGCCACTGGGGCCTCCGATGGAGATCCCCATGGTGCCACGAAGCGTGTGAGGGGTGTACCGAAGTAAGCGGGGAATCGCATGTGGGCATTGCCACTGTGGGACCTCCGGTGGAACTCCCCATGGGGCCGCGATACGTGTGAAGGTGTGTCGAAAGGAACGGTGAACCGCATGTAGACTTCGCCACTGGGGCCTTCGGTGGAACCCCATACGGGACCACGAACCGTGCGAGGGGTGCGCCCTACTGGTTGACTTGCAGAGGGCATAGGCAGGCATGGGAGGAGCGAGGAGGAGGAGGAGGAGGAGGAGGAGGCAGAAGAGGAGGAGAGGGAGGAACAGGAGGAGGACAGACGCCACGATCATCCGATCTAGGTCCGCGCAACGCCAAAAATGGAGGAGGGGGAGGAGGAGGGAAAGGAGAAGGAGGAGGAGGAGGAGGAGGGAGTGAGACGCGGGGCGCTGTCTCTTCAAATCTAGGACCCAACTCCACAGCATAGTTGGGAAAAACCTGTCTCTTTTCTCGAGCTCAGGGGGGGCAAGTGAGAGGGGACATGCCTTCTCAGAAGGCGGCGGGGTTTCTTGGAGGCCCTCGCGCCTTCGGAGAAGCCTTAGAACATATTTCTCAGAAGGCCCGAGGCCTTCCGAGCCTTCTGAGAAGGCCTGCCCCCTCTGCACTCCTAGAGGCCTGCTAGATGGGATCCAAGCAGATGGGGTCGGAGGACCGCGCCGCATCGCCAATGCATCAGCGATGCATCGTCGATGCATCGCCGACGTCGGCGGCGCATCGGCGACGTCGGCGAGAAACACGGGCTCGACATCGAGCCGCATCGGCGACGCATCGGCGATTCGGCGCGATCCTCCGACCCCACCTACTCCGACCCCATCTGAGAGGCCTGGAGAGAAGGCCCGCCCCCTCTACACTCCTCCGCAGGCTCGCCGCCGCTCTCCACGACGCGAGCACGCCTGGGACTGCCGCTGCCCGCTGGCACACCAGACAAGCGCGTCCCACGACTCGCGGAGCAACTTCACTGCTCGCAGACGGCCTGGACCCGCCATGGGGGCGTCAACGACACAGCACGTCGGTGCAGACACGTGCTTTCCCTGACGCTTGCGAGTGGGCACCCTGCGAGCAAAGGAACGCGCTCGGTGACACGCGGCCGCTGGGACGCGCCCTCGGTGGCACGCCCAGGCCTGCCGCTGCCCGCTGGCACGCGGCCACCTGCCCGCCGCGCGCGCGGCAGGCGCCCAGGGGGGGAGGGGGGCGGGCGGCGGGCCTCCGGCTGCAGCCCGGGGAGCTCCGAGCTGGCGGGCGGCGGCGGGTGGCTTTTGGCTCTTGATTGGGGGGGGGGCTGCGCGCGGTTTGGGGCTGCTTCCAAAGCCTTTGCTCGCAGTGTGGCTCTTCTGGTATCCCTCCCCTCCCCTCCTCCTCCTCCTCCTCCTCCTCCTCCTCCTCCTCCTCCTCCTCCTCCTCCTCCTCCTCCTCCTCCTCCTCCCCCTCCCCCTCCACCCGCCTGATATTTGTCCCTCCCTCCGCAGAGTGGCGCCACCAGATTTAACAAACCTTATGCGCCGTATGAGCGCCGGGCTGGACTGACTGACTGGCGCTGGACGCGGTGGCCCTGAGATCTTAACGTTGCCCTTTCTCTCAACGGGCGTGTGTATGCCCGGCGTCCAGCCCTCTGGGACCCTCACAAATCGAGCCTATAGGGACCGGGTCGTGTTTTACGAAACTCCGATTCTACATCGCCAAACCTGAGGGGACCCTGGACGTGACTTACCCTGGAACTCCTCTGCCCTCCACCTCTCCGACCTCCTCCTCCTCTTCTTTTGCTTATTCTTCTTATGATTATTAGTATTCTTAGTATTCGTATTATTCTTCCTCTTCTTATTATTAGTGGTATTATTCTTCTTATTATTATTAGTATTCGTAGCATTCTACTTATTAGTACTAATAGTACTGTTCATACCCGTGTTAGTAGTAGTATTATTCGTTGTAGTCGTGTTGGTATTAGTAATTATTAGTAGTAGTAGTAGTAGTAGTAGTAGTAGTAGTAGTAGTAGTAGTAGTAGTAGTAGTAGTAGTAGTAGTAGTAGTAGTAGTAGTAGTAGTAGTAGTAGTAGTAGTAGTAGTAGTAGTAGTAGTAGTAGTAGTAGTAGTAGTAGTAGTAGTAGTAGTAGTAGTAGTAGTAGTAGTAGTAGTAGTAGTAGTAGTAGTAGTAGTAGTAGTAGTAGTAGTAGTAGTAGTAGTAGTAGTAGTAGTAGTAGTAGTAGTAGTAGTAGTAGTAGTAGTAGTAGTAGTAGTAGTCTTGGGAGAGGCCCATCGGAGGAACATTGGAACCCCTTCCGCGAACAGCCGAAGTCCGTCCCACGAACACTCCGAAGAACACGAAGTCCCTCCGACGAACAGCCCCGGAGACGCCCGACGAACAGCCCCGATGACGTCGCGCGAACAGCCCCGGAACGCTCATGCGAACAGCCCCTGAACGGCGAGTGCCGCTCAGCCTCCTCCTCCTCCTCCTCCTCCTCCTCCTCCTCCTCCTCCTCCTCCTCCTCCTCAGACCCCCAACCCTAAACCTAAACCCTAACCCTAAACCCGAAAACTAAACCCTAACCCTGAACCCAAAACCCTGAAACCTAACCCAAACACTAATCCAAAACCCTAACCGAGGCCCCATTAACCCTAACCCTAACCCAAGCCCCTAAGACCTAACCCAAATCCAGAGACCGACGGACAACCACAAGTGTCCACTCCAAACTCCCCAGCATGTTCTGGACATCGCGTCCACGCGACCCCTCCCCGAACAACTCGGGGAATTCTCGTGCCCCTGCAACGACGACGACGCCGACCACGACGTCGACGACGACAAATACGACGTCGACGACGAAGACCTAACTCTAAACCCTACCCCTGAAAACCTAAATCCTAACCCAGACCCTAAACCCTAAACCCTAACCCTGAACCAAACCCAGAACCCTAACCCTAAACCTTAACCCTAGATCCTAACCCTAAACCCTAACCCTAACCCTAACCCTAAACCCTAATCCTAAACCCTAACCCTAATCCCTAACCCGAACTCTAAGCCCTAACCCAAAACCCTAAACCCAAAACCCTAATCCTAAACCAACTCTAGCATTAAAACCTAACCCCCCAACCCTGACCCTAAGCCCTAACCCAAACCCTAAACCCTAAACCCTAACCCTAAACCCTAACCCTAACCCTAAACAGAACCCTAATCAAGAACCCTAACCGTGACCCCGCAACCCTAAACACTAACCCTAACGACGAGGGGACAAACTACAAAGTTTCCACTCCAGACTCCCCAGTCTGAACGGCGAGGGCCGGTCACCCTCCTCCTCTTCCTCCTCCTCAGAAAACCCCAACCATGAACCCCAAACCCTGAAACCTAACCCGAACCCTAATCCAGAACCCGGAACCGTGTCCCCGTTAACCCTAACCATAACCCAAACCCCTAAGCCCAAACCCTAATCCAGAGACCGACGGACGTGTCGGCGACGGTCCAAACCAGGGATTTTTACATCACCACCGCCGGCACAACGTAATGCATCTGCAACCAGAGACCCGGGAGATCTGGACCAAACGGTTACCGACCAGAAGATTTCATAACCCAAGTTTGCCTATGATCTCTAATCAGAAATCCGGAAGGTCTAAACCAAGTTACCGACCAGAAGATTTATGAATTCCCATTTTTCTCTGGCGGGCAAGTTTTTCGGGCCGCGTCCAGCCGTGGCGACGAGCAACCCCCCCTAACGCCCAGACACTTCCGAATCGACGACGACGACGACGACGACGACGACGACGACCTCAGTCCTCAATCCTAAGGAGTCAATTGGGGGGCCCGACCATGATGTCAGAAAACTCTTGGGGTTTGTGGCGGCTCCCCTGGGCTCCCCCACGTCTGCCCGCGTGACTGTTGGGGCCCAAGAGGGACCCCAGAACGGCCAAGAGGGCTCCAAAAGACCGCCAATGCGTACACACAACCAAGGCACGGTAGCGGGATGGGCCGCAGGCCGTTCGATGGGAAGAGATCCAAGAGCGGGCCTACATCGTGTGAGGCACCTCGCCCTCAGGACCCCATCCCTCACGTCCTCAGCTCTGGACCACCGAAGCAGCATGCCAGCGCGCCAAATCTCTCCCAACGACCGCCACCTCCTCCCACTGGCACGCACTCGACCATGGGCCTCTTGTCACCCATCGCTCCTGGGCCGCCTTCGGCGGTCTTCGCACGGTCTGCCGGCTGTCTTCGGCGGTCTGCCGACGGTCTTCGGCGGTACTCGGCGCGAAAGCTGGACGGCTGCGTTCAACAGAGGAGCCCGTGCCCCAGGGTCTCCGGGCGGCAGCAGCACGACGCAGCGCCAGACCTCTCCCAGCAAGCCCATCCTTTCCTCTCGCTGCGGAGGCATCTGGACCAGAGGAGGAGGAGGAGGAGGAGGAGGAGGAGGAGGAGGAGGAGGAAGAGGAGGACGGGTCGCCTAAGCCCTTCGGAAAAAGCCTCCAGCTGGGTGGCCTGGCCTGGCCGGCTCGTGGCCGCCCGCCGCCGCCGCCGTCCGAAAGGTTCAGCACCTTAAAGGTACATGAAGCGAAGGCATGTGTTGAAGTCTGGTCGCGATGTCTGTTATTGATGTCCGTAATTGGTCTGTCATGTATGAAATTTCGCCCGCCCCATCACCCCCTCACTCCCCCGAGCGTTCTGCCCCTAGCGTCGCTGAGGGCAATCCCCGAACGAATTGGGGAACATTTGCGCTCCCCGACAACGGAAACGACGTCGACGACGACAGCGACGACAACGGACGACTGACGGTGACGGCGACGGACGACGAACGACGGACACAAACGACGGAACACGACGGCAACGACGATGACGACGAGGACGACGCGAGCGCGCCCGGAGCAAGGGCGCCCGTCGGCCCCATCACCCCCTCACTCCCCCGAGCGTTCTGGACCTAGCGTCGCTGAGGGCAAACCCCGAACAAATTAGGGAACATTTGCGCTGCCACATGACTGAAACGACGTCGACGACGACGGCGACGACAACGAACGACTGACGGCGACGGCGACGGCGACGGAGGTACAACATATGCCAGTACCGTCGTGCGTATATTGAAGACGTCAAATCTCCGAAGTCCATGCGCCGACGAGACGACGGCGACCGTCGCCGCGGCCACCGCTGAGAGCCGCCCCAAGTAAAGCAAGCACACTCGTGGCACACAGACGGAATTTACCGCGCCGCTCGAATGCGAGCAACGCGATTAAAATACTTGCAATCCATCGCACGCCGCCAGGCGAATTACTAGAGTAGGCGCGCCCATGCTACTAGATGTCCACGCGCCTCCGCACCGCCAACCTGCGCAGCAGCAGCGGCAGACGGTCAGGTGGAATTCGCTCCAAGGCGCCCTGGCAGCGAGGCCTCAGACGGTGCGGACACCGAAACCCCGCTCATGAGCAGCCCCCGGATCCAAATCATCCAAACCCCGCTGATCGGCAAAGCCCCGGGGCCATCGAAGAGGACACACCGGAACTGAATCGAATCGAACCTAGTCAGTGTGTCCACGTCGTGATTGATTATACCCGCTAAGGCCCCTGCCATTTAGAGCAGCCCGTGCACGGAAATCCAGCCCAACGGCCCGCCTGCGGCACCACCAGCCTCTTCGCGCGCCTTCGCGCCATCCCCCCCGCCCCCCCTCGCCCGGAATCTGCAGGGGCGCGCCCGCCCCCCCACCCCCCACCCCAAAAAAAAAGAAAAAGAAACAAACCGGAGAGGAAAAAAAAAAAAAAACGGACACGCACTGAGGCCCCCGCCCGCGCAATGTGCATCTGCCCCGCTAGGCCCCGCGAGCCCTCTTCGGGGTATGCCAAGAGTACGCCTGAGGTGGACCTTAGGGTGAGCCTACGATCGGACCCAGGGCGGAAAACGTGTTACTGGAACATGCGATCCATCCGCCGGCCAAAACCACTCACAACCATCAGATCACCGACGGTAGCCTTCCGCTGCGTCGTGCTGGGGCAGGCTCTGAGACAACCTTGAGAAAGCGTAAAGCCAGCCTAAGGGAGTAACCAGGACGAGCCCAGGGAGAGCCCTGAGGAAAACCTACGGCAACCTCGCGGGATCTGTGCGCTACGGAAGCCAGCCGATAAAACAAAAAAAAAAAAAAAAAAAAAAACTCTGCGAGCTACACCCAGGCGAATCGAGGCCCCCACCCGCGCGCCGTGCACCTGCCCCACTTGGCCAGGCGAACCTTCAAGGGAACCTTCGCACGCTTCGCCTGTCGAGCTGTGCTGGACA